GTTATTTTCGGAACAGGGACAACGCGTAGATGCCAGAAATCAATATCATATACCACTTTGGAATCCAATATGGCGGCCATCAGGGTTCAGAAAGTGTTAAATACCCTACAATATGGGTATTTTCGGAATGAGGACAACGTGTGAAGGCCGAAATCGATATCCGATGCCATTTTGGAATCCAATATGGCGGCCATCGGGTTTCACAAAAAGTTTCAAATACCCTAAGATCTGGGTATTTCGGAACGAGGACGACGCGTAGTTGCTTAAAATCGTTATTCGATGCCAGTTGTAGGCTATTTGACACTTCTTCTAAAATCGAACGAATCTGAATCTAAATTAAATTTATTTCTTAAAAAACTAGATATATTTTAAAACGATTAACATTTTTTTTTCTAATTAGGGTATACGTCCCTAACCTCGGTCTAATATGCAGCCATAGATTACGTTTTTAATCATAACTCATCAATTAATTTACCTGCAAACGATATTCTACTGCTAAATGGTATGCTTAGATATGCTTATCATGTCGTTTGCTATCAGGAACCGCAAAAAGTTGAAAAACTTACTTTTTTTAAGACAAAAACTCACCAGGGAAATGTATGTAATATCGGTCTATTGTCCCCAAATTGGGTCTATTTATGGATGCAACTTCGTCCTATCCTGTTTGATTCTCAAAAAAAACGCTCTTGGTAACGTTTTCTTATGTATTTTTTTTTATCACTATCACTGTTAACTTAATACTCTTCATTCCTCAAAACATTTCTTAGAGAAAATTTTACGAAAACTACATTAAATCACTCAAGTTAAAAATTAAAAATTAAAAATTTCGCTTATCGTCTTTCGACCGCAGAATATCTAAATCAAAACATTGTGATGTTCATTATACAGATTTGGCAGAAAAAATCTCCCTTCCTGTTCGTTCCTTATCATCCAAATGCAAACCACATTGTTGACGTTACTCTTATTGCTATATGCTGTCAAATGAATTTCATGGGCCAAAGTTAGGAACATAGAAAAGAAATGTGTCCCTAAAGTTGGGTCCATGATTTACTTGTGAAAACGTTGTTAAACAATTAAAATAAACATAAAATATTCAAACAGTAACTGTGAGTTTTACGTCTAGTGTGTATTATCAGGTAATTCCATTCAATAAATGCCATAATCAGGCCATTTGATGATCGTCAGTGCAACCTTCCCATCTTAACCTTAGAAGTCATGGCGGCTAAAAACTCCGAACAGAGTGATATTCTCAACCAGTTTTATTACTTACGAGAGCTGAAAATGTATTGAAATGTTGTGATATAAATTGATTTGTGTGTGGTACACATTTATCAATCATCAGTGATCAATATTTTCCTTATTTTTTGTGTAATATTCCTTAATTAATTATTTATTTGCGTGATAGGCCGAATGAAAGGACTAGACCCACATTACATACCGTAACCCTATATATTTAAAATAATTATGCTACAGTAACTTGTATACATAATTAAATCTTTAAAATTCGAGAAAAATTAATATAATAATCGGATTGAATTTCAAGATGGCGTCAAACATCGATTTCTTTCTTCTAGATGTCAGCCCGATTCCAAAAAAATCCACATTGATCGATATTTGACAGTATTTCACAGTTTTTCTGAACCAAAGCCGTCATCTTGGATTTAAAGACGCACAGCAAAAAAATTATTTTGATATCACATCAAAGTGGATGCACTACAATCATGTCGAAAATTTCATGTAATTTTTATGACCACATAAATAAACAAATGCAGTAAAAGCAGCGTAATGTCAGTCCATGCATTGTATTAATGATATTTTTGTCCTTTTTAGCAAGTAATATTACACCATATTTTCGACATGATTGTGGTGCATCCACTTTGACGTGATATCAAAATTATTTTTTTGCTGTGCGGCGTGACATCAATTTTCGGCATCTACGTCTCATCGCCATTCTGAAAATAACCATATTTTAGGATATTTGACACTTTTCCGCAAATCGGAAGACACCGTCTTGGATTACAAAATGGCGTCGCATATCGATTTCCAGCTTCTAGACGTTACCCTGATTCTAAAAAAAAAAACGTTTGTATGGGTATTTGATAGAATTTACAAATTTTTCTCAAACCGGAAGCCACCATCATGGATTTCAAAATGGCGTCGGATATTGAATTCCAATCTCCAGACGTCACCCCGATTCCAAAAATACCCATATTGATTGGACGGCATCAGCATTTCCCATTTTTTCAGAAATAGGAAGCCACTATATTGACTATTGATTGTATTTGACAGTATTTCCCACTTAATCTGAAATCTGAAGCCGCCATCATGGATTTCGAAATGGCGTCGCATATCAATTTTCGATCTGTAGACATCATCCAGATTCCCAAAATACCTTTAATGATAAGTATTGACAGCATTTCCCACTTTTTCTAAAACTGGAAGCTGCCATCTTGGATTTCAAAATGGCGTCGCATATCAATTTTCGATCTCTAGACGTCACCCCGATTAAAAAAAATACCCACATTGATGGGTAAACAAACCACCCGACAATGATAAATTTGGTATCCACGTGCACAGATCTATGCGCATACGTTTAAATGAACCGAGTGAACAAACAACAAAAGTCATAAAAACTGCACAAATTTGGATCAAACAGCTTCGCTTCAATGCAAAAGTAAGTTCATTTGACAATGAAAGAAGAAATGAAGACTATTCAAGCCAAAACAAACAGCATATAAACTGATCGAAAGTGATTCTGTTGAAGTTGTTGGGGATCTGCTCGAAGAGAAGACAGAATGACTTTCAATTGAAAATGATAGTTGACAGATTTCAGATATTTTCGATTGAAAGTGACTTTGTGGGGCCCTGCTATCAATTTCCAGTAATATAAGTTAAGTAAAATGTAAAATTATGTCGATAGATAGTGGAATTTCCTACTTTACCGGGAACTCGGGTTGATCCCAGCTCTCTATCTCGGTACACAAAAGTCTCCGGCCAATGAGAGGAGCACCAATCGATTCAGCGATTTTTCCTCTGAGAATATGTATAACATGTTGACTGAAACCGTTTGGCAGCCGAGATATTCAATTTAGTCACGGTTTTGTTTTGACAAAACTGTGCACTGGAAGCAGCTCCCGTTCTGGTGGAGGAAGCTTATTGGTCAATGAAAGATAAAATGTTTATTGTGTTGTATCTTTTGACTATAGTTTTAAGATGCATTGAATAGTGAACAAGAATCCTCGGCTCTGTAAAGTTAATTCGGTTGAGCCTTATCAAATAAATTAATAAACAATAAATCAAGTTAAAATCAGCAGCATTCAAGCTTGCATGTTTTGCATTAGCGAATAATGTGGCAACTCAAAAATCAGAACCATAACTTCACTTCTGGACGATTGAATTTCTGAATGGCATGCGATTACTTTGCTTGATGAGACAAAATGACTTGATATTGTTTGCACATTTTTCATGATCAAAGTCCGTAGTTTTATCACATGATGGGAAAGTAGGTGTCAATTGATAGTGGATAGTGTTGTTATCTCAAAATTTACTAAAATCCATATGGGACTTATTTGCGATTATAGGCAGTACAAAGCATGTTAGTTTCAACAGAATGGTTACTTCTAAACTGAAAAAAAAAAACAATAATCGCATGAGTGTCTAAAGCCATCCTAAAATAAAGTGTTGAATATTCGCAGGACCAAAGTTCAAATCAACGAACAGAAATAAAAGCACCTATTTCACAACATTGTCTCAAAATAGCGAGAAAGCCTACCATCGCACCGTACCGCACCAGCACAGATAGCCCACTCTAAACAGGTTAAAGACACCACCTGCTCGATTTTGAACACTCCCATATGGTCACACATCTTCCACATATTCAGCATAAGCAGATAACATTAATAACCGGCTGGGTACCAGTTAAAACATGCAACCAAAAATCTTGCTATTTTTAAACTATGTAAATGTCTGGGTATGTAAATAGAACTAGATTCGAAAATCTTCCGGGAGATAAAAGCAAGCAATTTATAAGTTAGCTATCACGTCACAAATGGAACTTAACGTCCACTCTCAATTTGATGTTGTAAAATTGTGTGGAAAATTCGTTTCGACCGAAATAGGGAATAGATGAGATCATCGATTTTGCATTTGTTTATTGTATGGACAATGGAAGCCAAGACAATTGCCAACCCATAAAGATCCGTGACTGAACCGGGAATCGAACCCGCCACCACGGTCGTGATATATGCCACTGACATCCAACTCGAATAACAGACGAAACACTAATTCCTTATTTCACAATAATGAATTTTAATATGTGATGAAATCGCTGTATACCGTCAAACGAAACTCGTATTTCCTGAGATTCACGTGGTTTAAAATTTCGACGGAATTTGCTAATATATGATCGTAAAAGACGTTTCTTAATGAAAAGTGGATCCGATCACCCAGGTGTCTAGCATCACATGCACCCTGCCACGGTGAGTGCCATTGTGTGAGAGGGAATGAGAACGAAAGATAGATCATTCAACTTTTGCAGATTATATCCGTATCCATCACAACATGTTCAACCCATCCAAGGTCCGCACATTAGTGTGCTGGTTTCTAATGTATGCTAATTTAATGCCGACAGCATTAGAGGCTATTCGCATAAACTACGTAGACCGTTTTCAAAAGTTTCAGACCAGCCTCCCTCTGCGTAGAAAATCGTCCATACTAATTTTTGGAAATTTGTATATACCGTAGACAATCTCAGATGCCCCTTAAATATCTGCGTGGCTTATGAACAGCCCCTTTTGACAGTAGATACAGTAGATAGCCAATGCAACAATGCAGCTATTTCCTATGTGGAGAAATCTGGTTTGGTCTGTCAGAACAAATAACAATCGTAAAATTTTTATTAAATCGAAGAAAAAAAACTCCTGCTTATTAGCAATTCTGATGTGTTCCTTGTGTGTTATTAACAATTCTAATATGCTTCCTTTGTGGTGATCTATTTACAGCACTCATCTACAAACTGCTGACCAGCTGTCCGGGCGTAGAAAACATCTTTCTACTGGTGCGAAGTAAACGTGGGAAAGACATTTTTTCACGTGTGGAAGAAATCTTCGACGATGCCGTAAGTAGTCCAAACCGCCCTTAACTCCAAACATTACAAAACTCATCCTTCGTCCCCCGTCTAGATGTTCGACAAAATGAAGGTAGCCTGCCCAAAGTACGATCACAAAATCAGAGCGATTGCAGGCGACTGTATGCTACCCAGTCTCGGCATCAGTTCCTCGGATCGGGAAGTGCTGGTGGAAAATGTCAACATCGTGTTCCATCTGGCCGCCACCGTACGATTCGACGAAAAGATGAAAACCGCCATGCAAATCAACGTGAAAGCCTGCCGAGACATTCTGGACCTGTGCTACGAAATGAAGCACCTCAAGTCCGTCATCTACGTGTCCACGGCATACACACAGTGCCCGCAGAAGGTGGTCGAAGAGCGGTTCTACGAACCACCGATCGACTCGAAGAAGATGATCTCGCTGACGGATTGCGTCAGCGATACCATGATGGAAAACATCACACCTATGTGAGTACCGAGCGGGAACAAGCTAGACATAATGGGATACAGGGAACTGCTGGGACTAATTCGATTATGCCAAGACTAGAACGAACTGCCTGTCGTCACTTTGCGACTTGTTGCTAATTGAACATGGCAGGACGGAACAGCCTGAAGATAGCACCAAGGCGATACCAGGTGCTCTGACTTGTTAGCCCAAAACAAACAGTCAGTGTTAAATGGCTAGTATTATATGTATACAAGTTTTTAACGGGATCTGTGTACTTATAGCTTGTAGCTTATGAATTGGATGAGACTCCCCTTTAGAAACTCATGTCAGCGAAACTGGGATTGTTCTTTTAATAATTAAAAGACTGCAGTTTCCTGCCTCCTCCTCTTTGCGCTCCTTTTTTACACAAACTGAGCACATCTCCAGACGCCTTGGAGCCACGATTTCTACGAAAAAACGGCTATATATCTCCATGCAGTGATATGCTCGTGAAGAAAAAGTGAAAATAGTTAATCGATATCGATTGATTCCTATACCATGATTGGTCATCCTCGAGAGATACGCATAAATTTCACCTCAAATGTATAATTTTAGTGTCTGATCCTCGAAAGTAACGGTCATCGGCCACAATATGACTCATGGAGCTTCCGCTTGTCTTTTCTCGATGTTCTCTCCACTCTTGCACGACGGTAGTTAGAGAGAGAGATTAAAACAAAAGCTAACGGTGAAAGTCTTGTTCGCTGTGTCTCAGTCGTTTCTGACGTTTTTTTACTACACTCGCTTCGTTGTCGTGCGCGACAGTCTGTTTGTATTCGTGCTCTCATGCTCTACCGTCGCCTCTCTTACACAACACAAACGGTAGAACAACATTCGAGCAAAAAGAAAATTTTCAAATAACTATCATTGGGAAAATGGATGTAATGTCGGCCTAAAAGCCCCTAATCTGAATCCGATTACGAGTTGTTTTCCGATGTCCCGATGAGAGAGTTGTAGTGCTTGCGCATAATCAATTCGCGACGTTGTTTTTCGGGTGACGCCATTTTATGCAACTTTCGAAAAACTGACAGCGAAAAAAATACAGTGTAAACAATACACTCTAAACTACTTCTACCCAAATTTTCAAGAGAAAATACCCAATGGTTAATTTTTTACAGCATTTTTTCCTCGATGCAATTTGATGTGGAACACCCTTTATCATAGTAGGTATGACCAAAAAAATATACACTGATAGAAAAACCACTGCAAAATCATTTTAAAAGTTAAATGATTATTATTTTTCTCAAAATACCCCCATTCGACTGTCTTATTTTAATTAGTAAAGGGGGTTTTGATCTAATTTCCTTTCTACTAAGCACAACCCGCGCTTTACCTCTCTTTTCTGAACGAGTTTAAACCAAAACTGAAATTTTTCTGTCAAAGATGACTTCTAAATTTATTCACCTTTCCATACGTACCGTTGGATTTGATAAAGAGTCACAACTTGTTGAGTTATTGTTTAAAATCTAATACTGCTTCTTGATTCTAAATTCGTTCTACGAGTTTCGATTCCGTCCTAACGCATTGAAACACCATTAAATTTTCTTCGTCCTACGGATAAACGTAGAAAAAGGGAATATGCTAGGAGCGCTTCTTTTGAACAATGAGCGTAAATATTCATACAATGCGCTCTAACAGGATTTATGTTGTAGCTAATGAACTAACGCATCGGAATAAACCTATTATAGCTTTGTGCACGTTGAAATCATTGATATTATTGATCTTTTCTGATCGATAGAACTGAAATGGGCGAATACGACGAAGTAGCGCTCTACCCTACTGGTGGTCTAGCAAATAATCCTGTAGTATAGCACTTCAAGTTCGAAAGGTTCAACAGCGTCTTGTACGATGTACCAACAGATTGTTTAAACTCAACTTGCATCATAAAGCCCCACAACATCATGTGAGGCATATAACAAAATATGTTCCATTCTCCAAATTTTCCTGGAATTTAGATCGTGACGTTCTACAGATTCAACGGGGTATTGTACGATGTCTTGATTAAGTTTGTGTATTCAAAAAGCTTGGTGGAACTCCATATTACCATGACGGATATGTAGTTGTAATGAAAAAACATGTTGGGGTCTAAAAGCTATCTTGAGGATTGGGTACTGGTGTTCTACAGGCTCAACAAAGTCTTGAATGATGACTGGATTTATTATATAAATCCATGACACTCCGGGGAACCTCATCACATCAAGTGAGGTAAGAAGTTGTACTATCAAAATATGTTTCATTCTCCAAATTGTGCTAGAGTTCAGACCTTGACGTTGGTTCTGCGTACGATGTCTCGACGAAATGTGTGAACCCAAAAAGCTTCGTGTTGTAGTTGTAATGACAAAACATGTTGGCGTCCACAAGTTCTCCTGAGAATTAGGTCCTGATGTTCTACAGGCTCAACAAAGTCTTGAATGTTGTCCAGATTTATTATGTGAATCCATACAGCTACGGAAGCCAAAATTTAGTCAGGACATCGTATCTCGTTGAGGCTGTAGGACATCAAGATGTGAACTTCAGGATGAATAGGGGAATCATAGATATTTTGTTAACACAAATATATACCTACCCTGATGTAATAAGCTCTTACCAAGCTCTCCGAAGGCGTACATTTAGTCGAGACATCGAGAAAAAGTTAATTGAGCTCGGAGAACTTCAAGATGAATTCTTAAGGATGATTTGAAGATATTATTGTGTTTCGTACATGCTGTTTTTAATTTCATATGGTGTGTTTAGGGTCTATGAGGATTTTGTAATACATTTCTTTGAATAACACCTCCTTTGAGAATCTGTTGATAATTTAAAAATAAAGGTCTCAACTTGAGAATAATTTGGATGTCCTACACACTTAAAAATAACTAAGTGTGGAATGACGGAATTTATCTTTGACATAAAAGATGAGACGTAAATAAACATGTCATGTAATATTATGTGCTTCGAGACTGAAAAGTTCGTTGCTCGACGAAAAGTGCGTTTGATTGAGCAAAAGTGCGCATCTGTTATGACTCAATTTTATGTCAAAATTGACGCTCGTATATGTCAGTCTCCATTACTTGGCCTTGTGCTGAGCATCGCGGAGTCAGATCCGAGTTGTATGATTCCATTCGGGCTCGAGGTAGACAACCTAATGTTCCAGTTCGGGATATTTTGGGTAGACGCGATCTGGAGTTTATGAAACTTATATATGTTTAGGGTCGGAGACGAGCCAGCCAACGGCTAAAAGTCTCCTTAATAAAGATATAAAAAAAAAATTATATATGTTTTCTTAAAGAATATTAACCTTAGAGTGTAAGTTTGACTAACTTTGTGTTTTGTTCGTGTTATTTTTTTTTAAATATTTGTTTCTGTAATAATTGTATCATTACACTGCGGATACCAAATTGAATAGGAATAAGTTCATGTTTTAGGAATAATGAAATATTTGTATCGTAAATCATAACTCAAACCTCCTTCTCCCTCTCCCCATCCATAAAACTGTAAATCTCTGCTAACCTCGAGACGACCGCGAGTAATCGGTTCAATTCCTTTAACTCTAGCTTTAAGACATCTATTATGTATAACGCAAATGATAACTTGGCTCTGTAAAGTTTATTCGATTGAGCCTGTACAAATAAATGAATACAAAAAAAAAATAGGTCAGTCTCAGAGCACCTAAATTTACATGATTTTTTTCTAAGTGTGTAGAATATCCCATAAAAAAATGTTTCTCGGATATATCTCTGTTTTTTTTTACTACTATAGCTGAATTCTAACAAAGAGCATTAAAAGTTCCTTACAATAAGCCAAAGAAAAAATAAGGACTGTATCGGTTAAGAGAATATAATGACTTTAAAAACCATTAAAAGTTTCTGATTAATTAAGGTTGAGAATTAAATAATTATAATTAAGTTAGCGTTTGAAAAGTGCAATTTTTATATTTCCATCAATGTCAAAGAGCACATATTTAAAAAATATACAAAGCCTCTGATTGACTGTCAAGTTTTTAATCACTGGATTTGTATGACTGATTAATACAAAGTTAGAACATTTAGAATCTATCATTTAGTTATGCATAGCATCCTCAAGGTAGCTAACCGGGCTGGAATATTATTGTTATTCACCAGCTGTATTCTCGTTATGTTCTCACGAAATATGCGCTCCAGTGCAGCGAAAAACAAATACACAAGTAACGTAGATCAAGACGTTTCCGGTGTAATCGATCAAGATAGTGAATTTGGGGTAAAATGTCTAAAAAGGAATTTCTCGATTACTTTTTAAAGGGGCGTATCTGCTTTTGTAAACAATGCATTTGATCGTCGGTTTGGCGTAACTGGTAGCTCACCCACGTTGGTATTTCTGGAAATCCCAGCGCAGGTGCTGCTATAGACACTCTTGTGATAGACACGCATCCAGGGGCTTTCACTACTTACTTCCAACACTCTTCCTTAGTGAAGCCCACTACTGCATCTACTTACAACAACCCCTCCTGTTCCGTAGCACTCCTCCTGCTTTATGTTACTACTGGCTACCTCAGGTAGTATACCCGAGCAAAGTCCAGCATCAAAATGACATCAAATTGAAATCAAGTTTTGATATCAACATCAAACTGAAATCATAATTTGATTTCTGTTTCGCAATTCACAAATTTTATACCATATTTTGTTTTCATTCTGCTGTACATACATTTACTCTTCAAAAATATGTTGTTGCGGGTTTGTTTTCATTGCCTAAGCATAACATCAAATTGAATACTTGTTTTGTTATCAACAGGAAAAATTTATATTAAATTTAGTTTTCAGTTTGCTCTCACTGATAGCAGAAATAGTTTTCAATGTGATGTCACAGGAAGATTTTTTTGCTCTCAATTTTGATATTTTAACCGTTAAATCGACCAAAACGACAGAAACCTGAGTAATCATTATCAGCGAAATCACAACATCAAATTTAGATTTCCATTTGATCTCAGACTTTGCTCGGGTAGTCCTCCGCTCCTACCACCTACAACGACAACCTTGCCAGCTTTCAAAATTCTGCAGTCCTTCGCACCAAACAGCACATCGTAGCCATTGCTGACACACCGACACCACACTTCCAGATAATCCAGGAACGTACAGAAATCCATTTAGCTTCATATCCACAACTTCGCCTTCCAATACGGCACCTGTGATCCTTCCTTGTCCACTTCCTCTTGCCTTCACCGTTCTTCCGTCCTTCAAAGTCACCTTCTCTTCACTGAGCGTCATACTGTCGAGGCTCACAGTCGATCCAGTCATGTGCTTCGAACGGCCAGTGTCGATGATTTCTTCTGGACGGCCTTCAAGAGCAGTAACGAGCGGGTTGTACGTCTTCGATAAACTCGACAGAAGATGTTCCTTCGACGGCTCTCCCATGCTGGCCAATCAATGAACCAACTTTGACGCTTGGACGAGATGCTCTGACATGTTCCCGTCATCTATCAGATACATCGAGCACAATATCCGCAATACATGGATCCCATAATGTGGCACAGCTGACCATCTTCTAGCGCCAAACCGATCGTCGCTCGAACCTTTTCGTTGTTCCTTGTCCAAGCTGACGTAACCACCTCCGGCTTCGCGTCAATCACGTTTACTACTTACTTTCAACAGTATTAGCATGCGTGGGCGAGCTACCAGTTAAGAAAAATCGACGAGCAAATGCATTGTTTTCAAAAACAGATACGTCCATAAGTAATGAAATTGGGTTGTTAGCGGAATGCTCAAATAAAACAGCAAAAAAGGTTATCTTCCATTTAATTCCACTTAATTAATTTGGTATCCATGACCGATACGTATTTCGACTACAATGAACTTATCAAAATCTAACCCCCTTAAGTACTCATCCCGTGGTAAAAAAGTCAAGATCACAGGTATAAAAATGAAACTACAATGTGTTGAATCGGAACCTACCTAACTAATAAAAACCAAAGATTTAAGTAAACTAAAGGAGAAAAATCTATACAACTCTCTAATAAGGAAAATCCCAAAGGCTTGGTAGCCATTATAATAAGTAATGAAATTGGGTTGTTGGCGGAATGCTCAAATAGGTTAGATTTTGATAAGTTCTTTAGTGGGAATGACACTGATGAAGACTGCACATTGTAGTCGAAATACGTATCTGTCATGGATACCAAATTAATTAAGTGGAATTAAATGGAAGATAACATTTTTTTTGCTGTTTTAGATACGTCCATTCTAAAATGAAATCAAGATTTCATTCATACAGGGTAGGAAGTATGCATCGCAGATTGCATAATTTTGCGCAATGCTCTGCCAAATATCTCCTCCAATTTGGTTTCAGTCAGTGTTGTCAAAAAATGATTATTCAAATACATCGTATGAATACCAATACTACCGAAACGATTAAAAAGATATTCGCTCCAATTTAAAATCACTCGAAGTAAACACAAAATTTCGGGTTGCCAAACCTTGCAGATAAAATAACTTTGTTGATCGTGCAACCAGATTAACTTTTATTCTCTCCGCGCGCCTCTTATAAAACATCATCTCTGGTTATTGCTAAAGAGGCTGAATTTATAAAGAGACGATATGTCAAAATTGGAACAATCGATTATCTGTCAAAGTCATAGGAAAAGTTATTCCAATCGAGCAAAAGACCCCTCAAATGGATAAGATGTCGCCTCTTTAAACAATTCAGTCTCTTTAGTTATTGCCTTTCCCACTCAGGGGTGAAAACAAAATGTCATACAGCGTAGTCTGGCAGTCTGAATGTTTTGTCTACTACATTCTTATACACGTGCATGTGTGACGTCACATTTGCTGTTGTATTTAAAAGTAAAATAATAAAAGAGATGGTAGATTTTTCTCACCGCACCAGTTGATATTTATGATTCATTGACTGTTTTGTCACGGCGACGCACGCTACCAACGAATTTGACCAATACTTTTAGAAAGTGATGATTTAGGAATACAAGGAGAAGAAGCAAAGGCAAATCGAGTGATGGTTAGTTGCCTCTTAATTTTACTAAGTCTAAGATCTAAAAAAATCAAAGTATTAAATTTAGAATTAAAACTCCGTGCAAACTTGAGCTGAATGTACAAAGGTTCAAGCGTAATCAATTTGTGCGAAAATCCGAGATAAATCAGATATAGTAATGCTATCGACTGGTGGACTGTTTGTAAATAAATTTTATCGGTTTTCAGTCTTTTAGCGAGTAAAACGATGGGAGTAGAGGCAAAACATTATTTTACTCGCTAAAAGACTGAAAGCCGATCAGATTACAAATATACCACAACTATGTAACTAAACAATTCTCAAACACTCAGCACCTAACCACCATTTCTCATCTCCTCCACTCTCCCACTCACAGCCTGCTGGACAAGTGGCCTAATACCTACACATTCACAAAGGCGATCGCCGAGGACGTCGTTCGACAGAACAGCAGAGGTATGCCAATTGGCATGTTCCGACCGGGTATCGGTAAGTACATCAACCAAACAAACCACAAGCCTCAACCGCCGGACCATGTACCCCCGTCAATCCAATTACGGCAACTTTTTGCATATACACATTTTAAATGGAAATGGTTGCAACCTTGCGCAGCGCAGTGGACAAAGTGCAACCAATCTTCACCATCAACACCGTGCGCCACCGGATCCCACCCAGCAGCCTCTTGCGATCCTTACCCGCCCTTTCTCCCTCTTACGGTTCTAGCTGATTGGCGCTAGAGTAGTTTTTAGAAACGAGTTTTCCACCCAAGCAGGTGGCTTGGGAAATTCGTACAACACTACTTTCGGTTTCCAATGATCGCAACCACATATGCGTGTTATTACCGTCGTCGTCAGTGTCGATCGATGATCTTTTAAGCTCGCTTGCACATTGAGCCATTACCTAGAAGTAGCGGTTACCATTTCGAGAGAAAAAAAAACGTCACCTCGGAACCAGTATTCAAACCTAGAGTTTCCAAGTTTGCAACATTAGAACTTGCAAATTAGGCAATCCGTTCGAGCTCGAATGGTGGTGGCAATGTTCTCAAAATGTTTATTTTATTTTTTTCGTTTTGGATGTACTAGGTAGGGGCAATGACTCTAATTTTTGTTTATTAATTTATTTGATACGGATCAAATTAATTAACTTTACAAAGCCGAGGATTCTTGGTCACTATACAATACATCTTAAAACTATAGTCAAATGGTACAACACAATAAACACTTTATTTTCCGCTATCCAAAAAGCCTCCTCCATCAGAACTGGAGCCGCTTCCAGTGGTTTCATTATTTGGCAGTTACACCATCGGGGGGCAGAGCGCTTCCATTGCAGCAATGGACGCAAAACGTGGTCAGCACTAACACACTCATCACGAAACGGTTGCTTTCCAAAGTCGACGACGCATCGACCGAAAGAACTGCTGACGAAGAACAATGAGGAGGACCACACAATGGTTGCTGCCAAGAAAACAGACGATCGCGTGGCACACATCGAGAGTGGCCTGCTTTTGTCGATAGCCGAGTGAACACTTCCAAATGAATTGACTCTAATGTTGGCCTATAGATCTAAGGTTGGGCCCATCGCTAAAAATCTGCTATTTATAAATTTTATCTAGATGAACGCGTAATAATGGATATTTTTGGTCGCTATTTAAAATTTAGTCAATTGCTGAATTTATGTATGGTCCCAAATTTCCCCTATTTAATTTTATTTAGTAGCCTTTCACTCAGATCTGAAAAAAATTACCGAAATCCTACTTAATTTGCATACATTTGAATTTGCAGACCGGGATGCAAATAACGTATGCGGTAACGAAAAGAGACTTTTTTCATCGATTTGATGACATTATCACCTACGGTAAAACCTAAAATGTCAATACATTCAAATGCATTCATAAATCTGCTGTTTACAGTCCAATGTTGAAAGTGATAGTGCCTAGATCTAATTTTGGGCCTCTAAGTACAACCCACACTTCACCTATTTTTTTTAGCAGATTTTAACACAAAAAGGAATGTTTTTACTGTAAATGACTTCCAAATTTAGTTACCTTTCCATACGTACCATAAGATTGGATAAAGAATCACATTTTTTTAAATATCGTTTATAATCTAACACTGCTTCTTGATTCCATACTCGGCCAACGGATTCTAATTCCTAACGCATTGGATTCATTTTGGCGTACAAATGCAGATAAAAATGAAACATGGTTTCGGTAAGAGTGCTACTTTTGTTTTAAAAAACAATGGGTGTAAACATTCATACCATGAGTGCTTATTAACTTTGTATGGTAGCTTTTGAACTGAAGTATCGTACCGTGGACTGTTCCAGTTGACTAAATCCACGAAAAATGACGAATCGACATTCTCCGATTTACATGAAACTTCGCATTATTCTTTGTTATGGGCAATCATTCAATTTTAGCCAAAATCCGGCCACATGGATGTTGCTTTTTTCAAAATGGCGTCTTTGACATTTTATAAAAATTGTAGCTCGAAAACGCCACTTCTGATCGAAATGACGACTGAGACAAAGTTGTAGCGAAAAATAAAGTATTTTTGGTAAATAAGGGAAATGGATGTAATGTCGGCCTAAATGCCCCTAATTTGAGCCCATACATAAATTCAGCAATTGACTAAATTTTCAATAGCGACCAAAAATATTTATTAGTACCGTCCCAATGACGCGTTCGTTTAGATAAAATTGATAAATATCAGATTTTTAACGATGGGCCCAATCTTAGATCCATAGGCCAACATTAGAGCCATTTCCCCTATATCACGGGATTTTTTAAATTATTTTGAGTAAAAATTTCGAAATAGTGATAAAAACTCATATATCTCAAAAAGTATATCTTCAATTTTAACAAATTTTGTTTAGAAAAAAAAAACTCATGAAAAATGCAAACTTTTGGAGTATTTAAACCCATGAACACTTAAAAATTTACAAACTTTGCGTATGTATGGGTGAAAGCAGTAAGTACTGAAAACTTCAGGAAAATTCTGCAAATTTTTAACAAAAATCTGGGAATTTCAGAGAAGTCTGCAAACTTTAGGGAAGTCTATGAACTTCTAAAAATTCTACTGAATTCAGGAAAGTCTGGGAACTTCAAAAATATTCTTTCAACTTCTGTGAAATCCGAGGGGGGCGATACTATCTACGATGCAGGAATAATTTTGTTTTGGTGTGATTAGCTGCGTGCACACTGAGTAGATAGAATGAAGATTGATGATGATTCTGATGATTTCCTGCAAAAAGATCATGGGCGATGCAAGTAGATGCGAGAAATGAAAAAAGATTTTTCGTAGATTAATTTACTAGTGTAGTTTTTTCGAGCATTTAGAATTGAGATTTAGATGTGACGCCCCCCTCGGTGAAATCAGCGTACTTCAGGGAAAATACTGGTAACTTCAGCAAATTATATTTATTCCAGGAAAATTCTATGAACTTCAGGAAATCTCTGTAAATATCAGGGAACACTGTGCACCTAAAAAAACTGTAAATTCCATAGAAAACTGTGAACTTGCGGAACGTTCTACAAACATTCGAAAAGTTTCGCAATCTTTAGGGAAGTTAATAGAACAGGTTTAGTAAACTTCAAGGGAACCTTGGTGAACTTTAGGAAAATCCTGCGAACTTCGGAAAGTTTTAACGAATTTAAGAAAATGGTACTTTTAGGGAAGTCTATGAACTTCGGAAAATTTCAACGAGATTCTGTAGATTTTTGGAAAATTCTTCAAAATTCAAGGAAGACTGTAAAGTTAATCTGTCAACAATTATTTTAAACAAATATTTGAGCTTTCTATCGTACAGGCACAACTACCAGAAAGTTCTAAAAACTACAATAAAATATTGCAAACTTCAGGAGTATTCTGCGAACTTCAAAAAAGGACAGCTCACTTTTGGGAAAATTCTGCAAACCCCACGGATATTCTAAACCATCAGGAAAATTTTGAGAAATTAACTAAAATTCGGAGATTCACATGAAAGTACAGTGAGCTTCACGAAAATTCTACGAATTTCAGAAAAAAATCTGATAACTTCAGGAAAGTTCAGCGAACTTCAGGAATATTCAGAAAACTTGTGAAAATGTTAATAAACTGCTGGAAAGTTTTGAAAAATTCAGAAAACTTTTATTAACTCGAATAAAACTCTTAATAATAGCTTCAGGAAAGTTCTGCAAACTTCAGAAAAAATCTGAAAATTTCAGGAAAGATCTGAGAACTTCACGGAAGTCTGCGAGCTTCCAGGAAGTCTACACCCAACCGGGGGATGTAAGATTCGCTTACAAGTATGTGGGATTCATCATCAGAGGATGCTAGTGGAGACCGAATGAACCGAGGATGCAATATACCGAGCTGCGGTCCAATGTAAGTGTATTAGTGTATTAGTGTATTAGTGAGACTCGAACCACGTACGTTGCGATTTTCAGGCCTATGCTTTCTCCACTGCTCTCTCCATGCTTCGGAATATGGATAGGCTAAAAGAAATGCTTGCTTGTGTACGTGAAAACATATACAGAACACGGAATAAAAAAAGGTTAAAAAATCAAAGCATCGTCTGCAAGGTCAACTTCTAACATTCGCTGTGATGTTCATGAACAGAGGATGATAGCAAATAAATTGAACTAACATTCATTGTAATAAATTTTTGGTTAGCGTGTATGAACTTTAGAAAACTTCAGAAAATTGTACTAAATTATACAATATGTGCGAACCTATGGGAAGTTCGTGAATTTCTGGGAAAATCTGGAAACATCAAAAGTATTCTGCTAATTTCAGCTTCAGGATAATTTTGCGAATTTCATCAAACTTCTGGAAATTTTTTCAAGAACTCCAGGAAAATTCTGCGAATTTCAGGAAAGTTCTGCAAACTTCACGAAAATTCTGCAAATTTCAGAAAAAAATCTGGGAATTTCAGAAAAGTCTGACAACTTCAAGTAAGTCTACGAACTTCAGGAAAATTTTGCCATATTCAAACTGTCTGCGAATTTCAAAAATAATGTGTCCGGTAGAGGCGGCAAACTTCATGAAAATTCTGATTGATTGATTGATTTATCTTTATTAAGAAGGCTTTCAGCCTGAGGCTGGTTCGGCTCCAACGTGAAAATTCTGAAAACTTCAGTATAGTCTGCATCCAACAGGAAAATTCTGCGAACTTAAGGAAACCTCTGCAAGTAATAGCGAAGTTAGCGAGCTTTAAAATCGTTAAAATAATACTGGATCAACCCGAGGTCTTGAAACAAAAATCCTGAGGATTCAGGGAGGCCTATAATCATTTGTTGGTTTTTAAAATAATCATCATAAAACATCCTAGAATCATGGGTGAAAATAAGATAGACTTGATTTAAATTGTTGGACTGTTGAAGATATTCCTGGTAAACTGGGGCCTCCCTTAGCTCAGTCCATAAAGGCACAGCTACAAAGTAAGACCATGCTGGGTTCGATTTCCAGTCCGGTCTAGGAATTTTTCGGGTTGGAAAATTTCTCGACATTGTACTTGCCACACAATTATACTAATGCAAAAATGGTACAGGGATCAAAAGCTCTCATTTAAAAACTATGGAAGTCTAGAACACTCAGTTGGGACCACGCACTAAGCTAATATGTGATAAACAATAAGTTTTAAATGCCAAGAAGAAGAAGAAGAAGAAGAAACATGAAAACTGTAGATTTTTCAAATAATTTCTGATCATACTGGTTTCATGAGTGAATATCTGAGAAACGCTATTTGAATTCCCGGACAGTTGAAGATCTCCAGAATGAAACCTAATCAGCCTAATGTCCTGAAATAAACTTTGGGAAAATTCTTCCCAGAAGTCAAGTTCTGAATGCACAACTTGAGGCAAGCTGTTCCCAGAACTGAAGGGAAGTTCCTACCAGAATTTTAGAAAAGTTTTCTTAGAACTCGTGGAAAATTCTTCTCAGAACTTAAGGGAAGTTCTTCCCAGAATATCAAGGAAGTTCTTCTCAAAACTTCAGGAACGCTCTTCCCAAAACGTCAAAGAAGTTCTTCCCAAAACTCTAGGGAAGCTTAAACCAGAACTTCAGAAATGTTCTTCCTAAAACTTGCGGAAAGTTCTATCCAAAACTTGAGAGAAGTTCTTCCCAAAACTTCAAAAAAGTTTTTCTCATAACTACAGAAATGCTCTTCCCAGAGCTCCAGGAAAGTTCTTTCCAAAACTACACTGAAGTTCGTCAATTTTTCTTCCTACATATTCACGGAAGTTTTTCCCAGACCTATGGGGAAGTTCTTTCTAGAACGTCAGAAAAGTTTTCTCAGAACTTCAGTAAAATCTTCCCAGAGCTCAAAGAAAGTTCTTTCCAAAACTACAGTTAAGGTCGTCAAAAAGCTTTAAGGAAGTTTTATCCAGAACTTAAGAAAACTGCTTCCTATATCTTCACGGAATTTTTTCCCAGACCCAGGGTTGCTTCCACTCACTTGCTATAAAAAAATATTATTCGGAATTGTGCAATCCTTAGATGCAATAATGCTATGTTGTACTTGTAAATAACAAGAAGAGGTAGTAAAGTATGTGTTCGACTCATAAAACCTGTCAATTTCGCTTTGAGAGCGTCACAATTAGCGATCTTATGATTCGTGAGCGTTCACTCAGAGTGAGCACTCACGAGTCGTAAAATCGCTGATTGTGACGCACTGAAAGCAATTTTTACAGATTTTATGTGTCAAACATATACTTCATGACCTCCTCTTGTAACTAATACTAATAAGCATTATACTATATCATGATTTCATAATTCCGAAAAACATTTTTTTATAGCAAGTGAGTGGAAGTAACCCTGCCCAGATCTATGGGAAAGTTCTTTCTAGAACGTCAGAAAAGTTTTCTCTGAACTTCAGTAAAATCTTCCCAGAGCTACAGGAAAGTTCTTCCCAAAACTACAGTGAAGTTCATCAAAAAGTTTCAGGGAATATTTTCCATTAACTTTAGGGACGTTCTCTCCAAAACTATAGAAAAATTCTGCCAAGAGTTTTAAGGAAGTTTTATCCAGCACTTAAGAAAATTTCTTCCTATATCTTCACGGAAGTTTTTCCCAGACCTATGGGGAAGTTCTTTCTAGAACGTCAGAAAAGTTTTTCTCAGAACTTCAAAAATGCTCTTCGCAGAGCTCCAGGAAAGTTCTTCCCAAAACTACAGTGAAGTTCGCCAAAAAGCTTTACGGAAGTTTTTCTATTAACTTTAGGGACGTTCTCTCCAAAACTATAGGAAATTTCTGCCAAGAGCTCTAGGGAAGTTTTATCCAGAACTTAAGAAAACTTCTTCCTATATCTTCATGGAAGTTTTTCCCAGACCTATGGGGAAGTTCTACCCAGAACTTCAAAAAAAAATTTCTCAGACCTACAGAAATGCTCTTCCCAGAGCTCCTGGAAAGTTCTTTCCAAAACTACACTGAAGTTCGTCAAAAAGCTTCAGGGAAGTTTTTCCTTGAACTTTAGGGAAGTTCTCTCCAAAACTATAGGAAATTTCTGCCAAGAGCTCTAGGGAACTTTTATCCAGAACTTAAGAAAACTTCTTCCTATATCTTCACGGAAGTTTTTTTTCAGACCTATGGGAAAGTTCATGCTAGAACGTCAGGAAAGTTTTTCTCAGAACTTCAGTTAAATCTTCCTAGAACTTGAGGGAAGTTTTTTTTTCAAAACCTCACGGAACTTCTTCGCAGACCTTTAGAGAATTTCTTCTTTGAACTTAAGAGATGTTCTTCCCAGTACAGAACCTTAGAAAAGTCCTTCCAAGAAGTTATGGGAAGAACTTCCCTAGAATTATGGGAAGTAGTTCCATGAACTTGTAGAAAGGACTGCATTTCGTTAGAGAACTTTAAGGGAAATTTTTCCACAACTTCAGGGATGTTCTTCCCATAACTTAAGGGAAGCTCATCCCAGAACTTCGGAAACCTAAGCAGAATAAAGCTGTGGCCGGATCTTGCAACTGATTCCACTTGATTGTGACTGAGATAAATCACATAGCGGCTCCGGTTGTGTAGTGGTAAGCCCCTCACTCCAAAAACCCTGGGTTTAATCCCAGTCGGCGCCTCGGGATTTTCTGAGGCATAAAATCTCTGATCACGCCGTAAGGGAAGTAAAGCCGTTAGTCCCCGGTCCATGAGTTGATGGGTCGATAGGTAGGGTCCAGGTGTGATCAAGATCGACGGAAAACAAATCACGAAACAAAAACATACGCCACATACAAGTTGCCTCAACCGTTTTGCACCAAGTGTCCTGCTTCTTCAGAAAAAATGCTCACAAAACATCAGAAAAATTCTTCGCAAAATTTTAAAGATATTCTTCCCAGAACTTGAGGGAAATTCATCCCAGAACATGAGGATAGTTCTACCCAGAACTCATTATTCAAAATTTCAATACAGATATTTCGTACCGAAGATTTGAAAAATTATCTGGCATCCCTGCTGGATATTAATAAAAGTGTTTTCCTTTGCTACTGAAAAATTTCACGCCTTCTCGACTATGGGGCTGACAGCACACTCTCAAATTTCAATGGAACTTTGTGGGTCTAAATATTTCGTCTACTTAAGCAACTTTGAATACTTATTTTCGTTAAAAAAAATCTAGACCACCATTTGAAAAGGGTGGAACTTTTTTCCAACTGTTACTATAAAGAAAAAAAATACTCAAAAAGGATACAATGCACAATTGTACAAAATTGCATGAGATTGCTTGAGGAAAACATAAAAATATTATTCTACACTCAAAAGACGTGTTTCAAAATGACTTTTCTTCAATACTTTGCGATGGCTGAAAGTCTCTTTAATAAAGAAAGATAAGATAAGATTCAATACTTAATAGAAAATTATATGCTTTGGCCAGTGGCGTTCCTTTAACCTCAAGCTACCTATGCACCAACTCTCAAAACATAAACAATCATCAAAATATTGCTTGCAATGGATAGATATCGAGTTAACTAGATGATTGCGTGTGTTTTTCAACCGATTCGAGTATGAATATTGCATTAAATCTGGTTTTTTAAAGTTGTTGCACAGGTAAAAAGTGAGGTTACGGGACCCCACTGGCTTTGTCCAAGACCGGAAGACGATCCGAGTTGATCCTGAAAAGTTATTAGCATGTTATTGGAGTAATGGAATCGAACCCGTCACGACTTGCTAATACCGTAGTTAATACTGACTAGTCAGAGATCGTAAAGGCTTATCCTGAAAGTTTTGCCCTCGCAGTCCTGTAGATTTGTTCCCTAAGCCTATTACAACTTACCTCAACAGAACCGTTGGATTTACCCGGGAGGTCTTCTACAACTACCCTTAGTTCTTTGAAGTCCTCAGAGCTTACCATTGAGGAGAAATTAACTGAATGTAGCATTGTCAACATTTTATCCACCGCAGCTCTCACTTGAAAATGGAAACTGGAAACAAGCAAATCCCCAAACACTGATAAACTGTCGAAAGCCTTGTCTCACTAGAGCGCAGTCAACAAACCGCCACTTTTACTCAACTTGACCGATATTGAAAGCGGCACCGGTGCCGCATAGACCACATCAAGCCACCACGAACTTGACGAGACGACGAGAGCAGCATAGCATTAAAAAGCACATTGACACCATCCCCCCCCCCCCCCATTCCTCTTTCCACGTGTTACATAATGAGTGTGTGCGCCTACAGATACCGAGTTGTTGTTACCCACTTGTCAGCAGATAGTGAAATAACAAAACGCGTTCAGTCAAATTGATATTAAGCCACATCATGCCAAAGCCAAAGCGCGCGCTCGCACCATGTTTTCGCTAATCATGTGTAAACTTTGTCGTAAGCTCCAGTCTCAGACAAAAAGCTTTTTTCATTTCCACACAGACCCGCAAAACAATTTCAGCTCTCTTTCTCTGAACGCTGACATCGTTCGGAGTCGTTCGCAATCTTCAAGGTCACTTTTGCGGTAAATCGGCGCATATATGGTCAGCGAAATCAAGGCCGAATGGTACATACCCATCTGCTCCACGACTGTCAGTTTGGCACTTATCGGCCCGAATCGACGACATCGGCATCTGGGTGGTAAACAAAAGCTGTAAACACTGCCCAACGCATGGTTTTTGCAATTCTGCCAACTTGGGATGACTCAGCAAATACCACTTAAATTATTATTATTTTCTCGACTCACTCTTGTAACGCAATTCCCGGTGATGGTTGGTCCATTCACTTTTAGGTTTCAAGACCATAGCGCTGAAGACCCCACAGTTCATATCTCAACCGAAGCGGGCGAGAAGGACTTGATGTAACCGGTTTTTGCTCTCTCGGTTGAACCTGAGAGTAGACTGAATATTAATCGCTGCTTTTTTCAACCTTTGATGCAATTCGGTTCATTAAATTAGTTTTTAGGCTAAGCTTTATTACGTTATCACAAAAAGCCAATGGACGAGTTTGGCTGGCTGTGACCCTGATATAGCAACATCTGCAAAATGAAAACTTACCTAGATGCGGTTTAGACTTCCAGATCTGAAAATAAGATCAGAAGTTGAATTTAATTAATCGAACATAGAATGGGAGTGAGTCGTTAAAGTTTGTGCTTCGTCATCGTTACATTTGAAATTTCGCATACGACAGAGTCACAATCACAACTCCACGAAAAGTATACAGCCTTCATTGTGTGCCCAGAATAAACAATAAAATATTTCCTTTTAGTGAAATAGCGTCGGATGGCATCTTGAATCTTGTGTACCGTCACCATGTATCGCAATTTGCGAGCAAAGAAAAATAGCACTATTTGTTTAATCTTATTTATAAGAGGCCTATTCGTACATGGTTTCGCGAGAAACGATGCTGATTCTCATAAATATGGTCAAACATCACACTTGACATAGTTGACAGACCTATTAGGTATCGACGCATTGTGGATAGATTGTAGCTAAAATGTGTCAACAAAACCGTCCATTGCCGAGGATCGTCGTAGCCAAACACTTTGGAATGCCCACCCGCTTCATCGTGGGCTAGAGATCTTCGTAAACAGTGAATGTAATTTGGCGAAAGTCAAACGTTCGGTACGTTCGTTAGCGCACGTCAGTGACAATGAAAAGGAAACCGTTTGTTTTTAATACGAAACGCGCCGTGCGCCGACGACAACGACGCCCACTCACACCCATGGGATGACGCGACGCGACGGCAATTGGTTGGAACTTTCTCCGAATCGGCGATGGACGGTGACGGCACAACGGTAACGAGTTTAATGGCCTTGATTTTTGGGCTTGAATTTCGCTCGTACTGTACCAATTTGCTCCTGGAAAGGAATGTGTATTTGTAAGTGACTTCAGTAGATTGATTCAAAACCGATTGTGTGTTTCTTTGTTTTTTTTTTTTTTTGATCCTTTGTCAGCATTGTAGAGTGTGCAATATATCGAGTTATCTTGTTTATTCCGCGGATTTTGCTTGGTTTTTTATTTCGTTTCGCGAATCGTCACAAATCTGAAAGTGTGAACTCAGTGAATTTGACGTTTCCGTTCGCCCATTATGGTTTGATTGATTAAACTCAAAAATAAACTTCAAATTTGTGAAAGTCGAAATTTGCCCAAAATCAGTTACAATATATGTCAGTGAATAGAGTACCAATGCTACCGAAGCCAGGGAGGCAGCTTCCACACCTGGACCTACCTATCGACCCATCAACTCATAGTTCGGGGACCAAAGGCTTCACTTCCCTTCCGAAGGAAGACTTGATCATAGATTTTGTGTCCCAGAACATTCCGGCGGCGCCGACTGGGATTGCACCCAGGCCTTTTGGGGTGAGAGGCAATCACGCTTACCACTACACCACCGGCGCCGCTATTGAACAGAGCTGGAAAATGTCATATTCAATGAAAAATCTCACGCGATTCTTACAGAGATACTTCTGTCACTATAATCGGATGAGAAAACGAAGATAGAGATTTTCTACAAAATCTCATCGATTTTTTTTTCTTGACAGAATGTGACAGTGTTGTGAATCGTGCAATTACTAGCTCATATATAGTTGCTTTCCTAAATTCATTTAAATCAGTAAGAAGTTTTGATTTCAAAACCGTATGAGAATCGTTCTTATGAGTACTTGTTCATTGGAAAATGACAGGAATGTTCATGATGGGTAGTTTCGTCTCGTGATAGTGAGAGGTCCTATTTTCTCATGGTCACGTGACGGCCGTGATATTTACCAGCTCTGTCAGTGAATCTTGATTTAAAGTACTAAAGTACCCCTCACCATCCCTCTCCAACGAGGAAGTTTGGTAAAGAGAGATGATCAAACCGATTTATACCTTCATTCATAAAAAGTTGTCCTTGCTCGCTTTCTACTCTCTATATAAACAATTTCACACTGCCGTACTCTGACGGAACTATCAACTCTATACTTTCATCTCCTAGTCTATCGTATAAAAATTACCACTCTAGTCTGTTATTTGAAGTTAGCATCTTCAACTATGAAAATATATCTATATTTTGGATATCACATAAACAGTTAATTGATTTATGCAGTAAAGGCGCTGGATTCTCCAAATATTTTATCATCAGAATATTGTGGAAGACACACGATTCTGTTTTCATGCGATTTTTATTTTTTCGATTTTGCCCTCATACTTTTCAGTACCCAAGCAACACACATGTTCTATAACAGTTAATATATCCTTTATAAGACTGGTTTTGGTTGTATAGCAGTTTACTCAACATAAATCTATGAATTTGTGTTACATGGGTAGCAGCACAGAACAGATAGGTAACATGGGAATCAGAAACGGAGGCATTTAAACTTCAATTGGTAGTGACACCTAGCGGTGGAGAGAACGCTTTTTACACTCAAAATTTATTTACACTTATACCACCTTTTACCATTTATACCAGCTTTACTGGTCTATACAATTCAAACATACCCAAGATTCATATATTGAAAGGTGTGTTATTCATTTTTTAGATTATATGCTTGTTTTGAATTCTACTTCTTCTTCTACTTCGCATTTAAACTTATTGCTTATCGCATATAAGCTCACTGCGTGCTCTAAGCTTAGTGTTCTAGATGCACTTCCACAGTTATTTATTGAGAGCTCTCAATGCCGGTATCTTTTTACTTTAGCATAATTGTGTGTCAAGTACAATTATACCGAAGACATCATATCAAGAAGACTGGCAACTTTGCCAGAATCCAGGAGAGATACTGTAGCGCTGCGCTTATTCTGCCTCTATAGTTTATTAGCTCTATTACCAAAACATACGCAACCAAAACAAACTGCGATGGATAAAGCTGTTTTGCAGTATAGAGATTTTAGAAAAATCGGCAATTTCTCTTCAAACATGGCTTCTTGGTATGAGCATTTTTTTTTGTTTAGTAATAGTGACATTATCGAGGGGTGACACATCTAAATCTCAATACTAGATGCTCGAAAAATCTAGCGCTAGCGAATCACTCTACGCAAAATATTTTACATTTCAAGCCGAGCCACCCGAAATATTTTTGAATGCTCAGATCACTTCTTATCCACAGATTTCATCAATGCTTCCTGCAAAAGCAAAGGGTAAGTAAAATGCTTATTGTGGAGTGAGACGATCACATCAAAGAAAAACTGTATTTATGATTTTTCTGCAAATTCTAGTACGATTATCATAATTCCGTACACTTTGATATTCAAAAACACATTTGGAATAAAACATATTGAAAGTTTAACGATAGAAAATAGGGGAAATTTCGGATTCAGCACTTCTTTACCTATTATCATCAGCGGGTATTTATTTGCATCATGTTCCAATGCATTGTTCTGCAAAAAATTCACACTCTAAGACTTCATTTACTCCCCTGGCGATAAAAGTGAAAGAAGTGCCGAAGTCGACATTCCCCTTAATTAAAAAATATCCAATGTTTCACTCATCCTGAATTCTCAAAACCATATTCAATACACATGCAGGTCGCTCTACCTGTAGGATTTGAAAATATCTTGGGTTGTCAGAGGATATGTCGAAGGAATGGCAGGGAAACTCTCTTTACTCCAATGGCATTTTTCATGGCCGTGTGCGTTTGTGTTTAAAAGCAAAACATCTTCCTTCCTTCACTTTTTATTCAAAAAAACCGTCGTCCAGAAAAAGCGAAATGATAATGCATTTCGTCGTAGAAAAAAATCTTTCCATTCACACCGGATGACCCCATTGTTTACGATTTATGAGAGGGAAAGCGAATACGAGCTTATCTGTCATGTAGCATACACGGAGATGAAAAACTACCCAAAATTAAGTACTTTTCCCTCAATTCCGGGGTTCAACCCAACAACCCAAATTTGAGTAAATCGCATATAGTAGTTTCCATTTAACACCAGCAAAAAATTACCTACTCTTAAGTATAGTCTACCCAAAATTAAGTTTAATTCACGTAAATTGGAGAATATGCAATTTACTCAAAAGTAACTTATTGGGCTGAACTATATCGTTGGGTCGAATCTCTCGGTCCTTTTTTGACAACAATAACGAGTGCAAGTGAGAGGCTGAAGTCAATATTAAGTCAAAAGAACTCTAATTTTGGGTAGTATTTTTTCTCCGTGTATAGTAGCTTGCCGTCTCTTTTGTTCTTTCAGTCCTCCTGGTAGCAGTTAGTGGGACACCACACTCGACATAGGAATTGGCGTTGACGAGAGCTCTGTAACTCTTTACTCCTATGGAGAAATCTCATATGTGGCGCCTTGTTGCCAGTTTTCCCAGACTTTTCGATTCGTTGCGTGTGTGATAGTAATTTTTGCATTCCTTTGCTTAATGTCTTTCACTAATAAAATTCCACACATTTTTATTGACGAATTTCCATGTGAAATTCCACATGATAGAATCCACCCAGAAGCACACATGAAATGTATGAGTCAAATGAATAGTATGTGTGGTTACACATGGCTTTTATGTGTCCGATACCTAAATATCATTTGTTGATCACATTGCAAAAATTCATGTGTGGGACACATAAAAACAATCTTTGAAATTTTATCAGTGTTGATTTTTTGATCGATTATTTCAATGAAACAATTAAATAAATGTTGTCATGTTACTTTTACATGTAACATTTGTATGCTCATCAGTACATAGTGGCTTAATCCAAGGTTAGTTGTGTACTAGGATTTAATATTTTTCTTTCAATCTGACATTGCTGGTACTGGTATAATTGACAACAAGAATGGTACTGTACTATCCTAATATTTTGATCATGTGAATCAAATGAAAACTTTACCGTTTTATTAAAGTACGTTAAATTATTTTTTTACTAAAGATTGCTAGTATTGAAAAGCCAATCGTAACGGATTATAATTAGGTTATTCATGCACAACTTATTTGACACATGATCTTTATTAGCATATTTGTATAGCTTTAGCTTATTAGTGGATTTATGAATTTAAGGAATAAACCAGTAGAAATTCATCAAAAAGTATTTGAAAATATATATTGCACACAAGAGGGAGTCAATGCAGTCAGATTTTAGTTTTGTTTTAATAGTTAATATTTTTGGCCTA